AAAAAAAAAAAAATGAAGAAAATTTTTTCCTACATTTTTTTTTTATTGTAGTGTGAATTTATAATTGATTAATATTGGTAGTAATATTATCTGATAAATATGTTAAAAATATTATTGTAATTACTTAATACGAAAGTAACGGTCAATTTTTATAATTAAAAGAGAATAGTGGAAAAATGTCATTATTTTTTGTCCTTCTTTATATATATATAAGTATATAAAATATATGTATATATGTATATACATATATATATATGAATTGTAAAATGGAAGATAAATATATAAAAAACATACCACGACTAACGAATTCTTAGCTATAACTATTGCTAAATCTAAACTACATAGTAAATTGGAAAATGAATTTCGAGTAAATTCTTTGACTATCTTTATTGAAAAGAAAAAAACTTGCAAATTTCGTGACTTGACAGAACGTTGAGCATAATTCTATTAAATTTGGAAGGCACATATATATTTTTCCTTACAATCTAGAAATGCAACATTATCTTTTTTTCATTAATTTATGTGCTATTATCGAAAAATACTTAGGTCCATAATTATTTCATGAGTCCACCTTGATTACATTTTTTGAAAAATTAATTGAAATTCAAATCATTTTCTTAGAAAAAAGGGGTTATAAAATGGTAGACCAACATTTTACAATTGTTAAATGGATCATCCCCACTTATTAAGAGCGTGGTCGGAATGATTGAAGCTTCTGCACTTTTTGCATCCTAAAAAAAAAAAAAATTCATTTTTCAGTTGTTTCTTTATTTGATTTTCAAAATACAGTACCCAATCCACTACTTTATAATTCAACCTTTTATTTTAATAATAATGATTTTTCAATACAAGACCCGAAAAATAGGTTAATTATCAAATTGGGGCTTGAAAGATTTTTTTTTCAATTCGAGACTTAAATGTTATAAAAATATCAAATTAAGTCATAGAATTAACAAAATCACAACATAGTTAAATTAATAGTTAAAAAATTATTGGTGCTTACTCACAAAAAATAATAAGTAACAATTGCATAATATTTCAAAAAAAGAAAAACAGAAATAGACGATAGCAAGAAAACCGAGGAAGAGCTTCAAACTTTACTTAATTTTCTCCAACAATACTGTATTTTCCTTAATTTTTTTCATTTTTTTTATTTTGTTAATAGATTTGGTGTTTTAAAAGTCAACTCTTAATTTGGTGTCATTAGTTTTGTTAATTCTATGACTTAATTTGATAGTTTTATAACATTTAGGTTCTGAACTGAGAAAAAAATTCTGTTAGACCCCGATTTGATAATTTACTTATTTTTCAGAACTAGTATTGAAAAAACTCATCTATATATATATATATATAAATACTAGCTATTGCATGTAATAAAATATTTAATAAAACTTATTTTTATTTCCTTCGAAAAAGGGTTACATTTTTTTAATTAATTACTCATTAATCTGGTAAACCGTTATACCTTAGTATATATTTTTATTATTTATTTTTGGATCAGTTATTAAATTGATTCTAAATTTGGTACCAAAATATTCAAATGTGTAACGGCTAATGTTGGAACTTAAAGTTGATTGACACATTTAGAGCTGTAACCGCTATATTTGGTTGCATTGTTAGAAAAAAAATATGATTGACACATTTTTTTTTTTTTTCTAAAAATCAGAAATACCAATTATTATTTTTTATTTATGTTAATTTTCTTATATATACCACAAATATATAAATTATTTTATTCATGTTACTAATGTAAACATTGCATAGTTAAAATAAAATTTAAATCTCAATTAATTTTGAATGATAAAAATAACTTAAGAAAGAGTAATAATTTTTATATGATAAAAGTAAATGTTTAACTAATAAATACAAACAAATACGTATTTTATATCTGTGCAAATGCACAGTATCAAATACGAGTAATAATAAAGCTAGGTGAAATGGCATTCTCTTTTAGTACTATTTATTTGTTATTGCGTTACTGTCCTTGGCTTTCACATATATGAAATAAATATATTTAAAAGTGATAATGGTGCTTTATAGCACTTTTATAAAATAAAAAATGAAATCTAGCCA